TTCCGGTTCTTCCACGCGGTCTCCCTCTTGCTCGGCGCCATCTTGGACTGGCGTTTCTGGTTCCCTTCTCTCAGCCGCTTCTTTGACCGCTTGGACAGCCATCTGCAGCTGGGCTTTCAAACTTAAATTCTTGTACATTAGATTAGTAATCGTACGAAAAGTTGCACTGCATTCTCCCCACTTGTCGTACCGCAGGGCCACCCTCTCATCTGCGGCTCGTTCCATTCCTAGGTCTTTGCGGAGCTCGGATGGAAGCTCGCGACCCCTTAATCTAGCCGCCATGAGGGGAGAGAACCGGACGATCGACTCCGGTTCTTCGCTCTCTCGAGCATATCCTAGGCATCGGGCACACTCCCGGGTGAAGGTCGGGTTCGTTTCGCCCGCTGGGTTGGGTCCGGCGAGGGACACAGTATCGAGGGGCCTGAACAGGACCCGCTCATCTCTCATTATACACCCGAACGCCGCAGGGAGCAAATACACTTCCCTCTCTTTCGGGGCTCCGTCTTTGGAGACTCCCTCTTCTCCCTTTAGCGACAGGCGTCCGCTGACAAATCTTTCACCCGTTCCACCCGCCTGGTGGTAAGCGATATGCGCCTCCAGGTCCTCAAAGCTTTTCACTTGGCGTTGGTTATCGCGCCAAGGGCAGTTCTTAACCAATTCTAGCTCTAATGTGTCCTTTCCTGATCCCATCTGGGTCGCCATGTGCGAGTTCTCTCCCAATCCCATCCTCGTCGCCATGTTGTGACAGGTGGCAGCACTCTGTCCCTGCCCACCCAAACGTACCCCTAGGGCTTTCCCAAGTACCCCTGGGGGTACACTTCCCCCTGGTTGACAACCCCTGGCATGAGGTACCAAATAAAGAGTTTTAAAATGTAGCATCTTCTGTAACTTGTGTCTGCAGAGCTCCCAGCTTGCAGCTATTTGCAGACAGGGAAGGGGAAGAGAGCGGAGGGAGTTCAGTCCGGGGGGTTTCAGCCCCTCCCAGGGCACAGTGGGTATATTGGAGCCCTCCCACACCCTTCAGCACCAGCTCAGGACCCCCAAAAATTAGCTCCTTCCACTGCCTTTCCCTTCTCCCGTTCTGAAAACAGGAGCACTGTCAGAGAGCTGGGGCTGTAGCAAGAGAGCTTTGATTTAGGATATAAATAGGTAAGGTGGACATCACTGAGCCTGCGCAGGAAAGCTGACATCACTGAGCCTGCGCAGTAAGAGTTGCCATCTGAAGGCCCCAGGAAAAGCAACTTTTTGAGCGACTGACCTAGTTTCCCAGCTTGGGCATGTGCAGTGGTGAAAGCGTTTGTGGCAGGAAAGGTAAGTGTCTGTTCTGAGGTAAAGGTGAGCCCCGGGGTATGATTGACAGATTAATGTATCTTGTGACAAAGGGGTACAGCGAGGGACAGGACCTTTACCTCCAAGCATTGGTTGTTGAACGTGGTGTGATTGAGGCACACAAAAGCCCCAAATTCCAGCGCTGCGGGAGAGCCAGGGTGATATTCTTGTGCATGTGGCACGTGCGTCCTGTTTGTGGTGTGGGATGGCGTGTGTGATCTGAGGTGTTCAGTGTGAGTCTATGTGGAAGAGTGATGTGTGTAATGTGAGGAGGGGGAAAAGTTGGTGTCTGAGAGAATCTGTGGGTGAAGCAGGGGTGGCACCAGCCTCTTAACTTTCAGAGTGTCTATTGGACTTGTCACTGGATTGCCCTGCCAACCTGTTTGCCAGCATTTCTGTTTGCCAATTGCTTTTGCTGTTCCTGGATTGCTGTTCCTGGATTGTTATTTCCACTGTCATCCCATGGCTGTGTGATATGTATTGGTAAAGTATCTGTGTGTGTTCTTTGTTGTTACTATTATTGCTGTTCACCCTTCTCTCTTGTAACTATTTCCTATTGTTAATTGGTTTGTTCAGTAAATCCTGTTTCTACTTTTAACTTTAACCTTGAATCCCTGCGTTTAAATCCCATACCTAACAGTCAACTTGGTAAAATCTGGGGCTGGCACATCCACCTCTGTATTAAGAGTGAGCCTGCCACTAATCTAATCCTTGCTGCCTAGCAGGTCCTTTCCCAAAAGTATTTGTTCCCCTACGGGACCATTGCTATGGGAACCTGGCTGCAGATTCCCAGCCCATTCACCTCCCCCTGGAACCAGCAAGGAACTTGTGTTTGGTCTGGTGTAATGTTGCGACTCAGAAGGCTTTGCAGAACAGGGTCTGAGTTACAGCTGGGAGCTGCAATTCTGTCTGCACCCACATCAAATATTAGCTGCTGCTGATGCTGCAGGCGGCGCCTGCCGGTGGTCACCACTCCCCTCCCCTTCGCTGCCAACACTGTTGGCAGCATCTGCAGGCGGTCGCGATCGCCGCTGGCCCACTTGCCACCCCCCCCCCCCCCCCGCTGCCAACACCGCTGTGGCTGCCTGCAGTTCCCAGATCCCCGCTGCTATGCCCCTGCTGCTGCCACCACGTGCAGGCGGTCACTATGCTCCCCCAGCCTCCAGGGGCATGCATCATTCATGTCCATGTCCTTTAATCCCTACAACTCCATGTCACTTGGTATCATTGTTAATGTTCACTAATAAAGCTTTTAAATACAATGCAGTTACCATGTGTGGGCCCCCATCTTCTCCACAGCTACATGTTGCCAGATTTTTTTTTCCACCTCCTTTACCCCACACTAACTTAGACTTCATGATACCAATGGTGTGTCTTAATTTGCTCCAACCCACCCCAACTTAATTCCATGTAGCCACATCCCATGGCAGGGAGTCGGGGGGAGCCCCGTATACTCTTGAATCCCTAGCAGTCCATATCACAAACCAGTATTTTTAACATTCAATAATGAGAGGCATCTGAACTCCCAGGGCTGCAGGTCTGGTCCTTATACACAGGAGGCTGGCCAGATAGAAAATACAGCCCATGGATAGTTATAGACATGGTTATGGAGCTTTGCTCATTTGGATTTGGAACTTAATTGACTGATGGAGTTGGTCCAAGACAGGAATATTAAATAAATAATTGCAGTTTTTGAAAACTAGACAGTTTTAAAGGATGTTAGCAAAGTGTGGTCTGTCATGTTGTGGGTTCAGTTCACTGAGGCAGGAGCCATTTCAAAGAAAGAGGATTCTTTATTCATGCTAAAAGCATACAGTCATCAGACTCTCACTTTCTGACTCTGTCCAACTCTTATCTTTAGCTAAATATAACAGTGATAATCCTAGAGAAGAGCTGAGTGACAGCCTTAAAGCAGGGGTGGGCAAAATATGGCCTGTGGGCTGTATCTGGCCTGCAGGCCAACACTGGGAGCCTGAGAAGGGAGAACTGTGCCCCGTGCCACCCCACACTGCTGCAGCTTGGGCTGGGCTGGGCTGCGTAGCACATAGGTTCCTCTACTTCCCTCCACCCCACATTCATCCTACTCCCACACAGCTTCCTGTTGGCACTGTGGCTGTACAGTCCTGGCACCATGGCTGCCAGCAGCCAGGCCCTCATGGGATGGGGTGCAATGCAGTGCATTAAGTAGCCATCCCACCTGCCCACCCACCATGATGAGATGCTGCCACCTTGGATGCAGGGTGGGGGGAGAAGGGCCACGAAGGAGTCTGCACGCCGTGTGGCCTAGGCCAGCCCGGACCCAGCTGCAGCAGAGCAGAGTGGCACAGGGTCACTTCCTGAGGTTCCCATAGGCAGCCAACAGGCCAGATAGGATCAATTGCTCCCCCGCTCCAACAGCTCCCCAAAACTACATAAGTGGCCCTCCAGCCCAAGTAATTGCCTACCCCTGCCTGAAGGGCATACAGTACTCACACGGTCAGTGAAACATTCTCTGTTAATCCCTTAATTAGCCAACATGGTTTTAGAAACATTTCCCCCCACTTTAAACAAGGCCAAATTGTCATTATTGGAGTTGTCCAGGCATAAAAAGCAGATATTGGGCATGCAAGAAGAAGTTGGTTAGTTTTATTGATACATAAGGTAGCACAAGATCCATATATTTCTCATCACTGAAGTGCTAAGAAGAAAAAGTGATTATATAAAGTTAAGGAATGTCAGCAAATGTGACTGTTTATAAACATAGAGCATTTTTGCTGAATTAAAAGTATAATTTTTCCGTCACTTTCTAATACAAATACATTTTTAAAGGAGATAAGAAAGAGAGAACTTTCAAATGTTAAAGGCAGGGGTTATAAAACCTACTAGCACCCCATAAATTATACTTTTTCCAAATTCTATGTTATTTTCCCCATAAACAAATCTTAGAATAGAAGTAAAAATGTGAAGGGGTCCAGCCAGTTGCCCACCTTGTAATTCTTCATCCATCACTTTCACTTTCCCTTAATTTCCATCACTCATTCATCCTAAACTTGCCCCTTCCAACATGCTGGAAGAAAATTTATAGAAATTGCAAGCTTGAAGCTTCAAAAATTAAGTGACCTCCTTGGTTAACAGACCTTACACTTCAACATCTGCTTAATATTTTAACAAAAGATCAAATGATTGGGCCTGAACAACATGATTCATCTGGATCAGCTGTGTAAGAGCTATCAGGAATGTGCATGTGCATGTAACAACTTAAAACTATTATTTATTTTACAAGTTCAGTTCCCCACACTTTTAGGGGCACTGTGCTAATCTAATGAGCATAGGTGTAGAATATAAATGGAAGAGCAAAGATTCTACAATACTAGCTATATTTTTACAGTTTCTTTGGGGAAGATAATTTCTGCATAATAATGCCAATGAATTCTAACAATTTTCAGTTTGGGGTTTTGCAGCACCTTGATAACCAATTAGAGCAGGGGTGCCAAACTTATCCCATGCCATGGGCCAGAACCCAACTGCAAGGCTCCTCACAGGCCAGGTCCCTAGGCCAAGCAGCAGCTGCAGTGGAACCAGTAGCCGCAGTAGGATAAGTGGCTGCCCTCTGTGGCAAGGCAGCTTAAATAGCCATGGGCTGCACAGCTACAAGGCAAGCAGCAGCAGCCTCAAATTGCCACAGGGTGAGCACAGGCTGTGCCAGCACAGCCTTTGCTCACCCCCTCCTGCTGCCAAAGGCCATGTTCACTGGAGCTCTGGATTCTGTAGCAGCCCACACCTCCCTGCTAGCCATGCTCCCAAATCAGCTGATATACCAGGCTACTGGCAGGCCAGGGAGAGTGGTACGGCAGGCCAGGTCTGGCTCACTGACTATATGCTTGTCAGCCCTAAATTAGAGCTTTCAGTTGCTGTTGTCAAGTAAATGAGTATGTGAGGAGGGGAAAAGCAGGAAGAGGAAAGTAAACCCCAACTCTAGGGCTAGGGACAGAAGTTGCACATAAACCGTTAAGTGATCAGAAACTGATTTAAACCTTTAACAAAACAGAAATTCAGTGCACATAAACCAGTTTCAAAATGGCTGAAACTGGTTTAAGATAAACCTGGTTGAATATAATTTCAGATTTAAATCAAAACAGTTCATGAAAATGCTGACCTAAGAGGACCGAATCCTGTGAAATGCTGAGTGTCTTGTGATTCTAAGCATTTTCCAGTCACAATAATTTCAGACAGTAATCTCCTTAACCCTGCACTTCACTCATTGATATGGTTCTTAACAATGTTTTGCCAACCTTGACCAGTAGGGGGAGCCACATGCTTTTTTTTTTTTTTTTTTTTTAAAGGAAGGTAAGTGTTCTGTTGAAACAATCCTGAAACATGCTTTAGTGAAACTGCTTTTCAGGTCTAACGCATTTTGTTTTCAGTAATATTTTAGTCTTCAGAACTTTAACGTTCAGCTACAATATGCTAAGCAAAAGTGACATTGTGTTAGCCCAAAATGTTGTTCTACAGTAAAGCCAGAGTAGATCAAGCTACAGAATTGTAAAATAGAAAAAGTAACTTTTTTGCATATGTAAAATTAGTTTGTTGTAGAAATTCTTGTGAATAAAAAAAACTTCTTGTAATATTGCCATCTGCTAAACATTTATTGGCACCATTACTGTACTTTACTGATAATCCTTTGAGCAATCTAGTAAAAAAAAAATCTCCATTATTGGGGGTGTTTTGATGCATGTAAGAGTAGTCTATATACACTGATGATTATTTTTCTGATATAACAAGTCAGCCAGCTATCACTTCCGTATTGTGCTTGTATACTGTTCTCCTGTCCCCTCTTTTGTGCCCGAGGACTCAGGAGAGGATGATTTTTGCTTGTATAGCACATTATAGTTCTGCTACCAGAAACTAATAATAATCATAATCAACAACAAAGCAGAAACATTTATCTTTTGGGAAAATCAGCATAAAGAAAAATAGTGCTTCAGAGTGGCTTTATTACAAACAACTTGATACAGAAAGTGTAAACAGAAAGCTGTATACACAAATTTGTAGAAAAGGAATCAGAAAGGAATGATACAACTTCATAATATAAAATGTTGTTTGTCATATTTTTCCCCATCAAAGCATATACTAGGGGAGTAAGGTGTTCTCGGTTTTGTACATACCAGAATGCCAAAAGAGAATCTCTGCTTGCAATTTGTAAAATCCTGAAGAATTACGATCTTCAGGTTATTATTTTAGTAACTTGCAACATTGTATTTGTATCCATATTCAGTAATCAATCACAACTATTTAACATTTGATCGTATACCAAAAAGTCATACTTGCTTAATTGATGAAAAGTCATACTCACCTCAGTTAGGAAAGTTGGCAAGTTGGCAAGATGTTGGAATTAAAGACAATCTTTTTTTCCCTCAATATTATGTAAAATTAATTTGATAGTCCCAATCCAATTCCTTATAGACAAACATATGCATGATGAAATGCAATGCACTTGTTGGTAGCATTAGCAAGACTAAGTGGAGTGAACTACCATCTCACTCCTACATACATCCCCCTGAAAATGCAACTGAGGCCAGGTCTACATTACAGAATTTGGATATTGTATCTATGCTGATGAGAAGTATATTTAAAAAAAAAAACCCCCAAGCCCAAACTCAAGCCAGCTAGCTATACAGGTTTTCCTCGCTTTATGCTGTATGTGCGTTCCTAGAAAACAGTACATAACTTGAATTCGCATAGAGGGAGCCCACTTTACAATGTAACAAATAGGGATAGACCTCAACTGTACTGAGCCACAGACCCATTTCTATCACTTTTACACAACACTTTGGTACTCACCAACAGCAGACAGTATACACAAGCACAGGGCAGTATCATTGTGGGAGTGGTAACTACAGAAACATGTTTCACAGACAATGAGTGAGGAGCACAGATCCAGAGATTATATTTTGGTGCCCATCACTCCCACAGCGCTCTGCACAAAGCAGCTGACTGTGGGCTTCCACCACACCAGTTGCAATTTACCTCACATATAACCAATTTTCAGTATGAAAGGGGTCATCACATAAGAGTGAATTTGCACATACAGAACCCGCATAAAGCAAGGGAAGCCTGTACTGGTAATATCCCTGGTATAGATACAGCTCTGTTGACAAGCAGATGCATGTGCTTATGTTGTGGAACAAGGTGGTATACCCACCTTAGCAAGGGAAAAAAAAAAACTCCTGTCAACATATGCTATGTTGGTCGGGGGGGAGGGGAGGCTTATAAGGAAGTTCTGACTTAAGTGGGTTGAAACTCAGCTGCAGGTATTCAGTGGTTAATTGTCTGGAAGGCTGGGAGCAAGTTGAAACTGATGACTAGTTGATGAGGATGGAGCCAGAAAGGTTAAGAGCTCCAGGAACAAAAAAGTCCCTTTTCCTTGCTTAAAGGAAGACGGCATATTTGGGTTAGGTTGGGCTTTTTCTGGTGGTTGTGAAGCTTCTCTAAGAGAAGTCAAAACTGTTTTGAAAGCCTGAACTGACAGCTTAGATAGACAAACCCTTGAAGTACAGTACTTCAGCCCAGGCTTAGCATTTTTGGATTGGCCTTCAGAAGCAATTTACTGTAATTCCTTTTCCAACCTAATTTCCATGGGTTTTTTTTTAACAGGATAGTACCATTGCAAACAGAAGTAGGGTCAGAATAAGGAAAAGAAGAGTGTCTAATTGCTCAAATCTTCACACACGTGAAAAAAGGAGTTTAGGATAGCCTTTTACCTTCAGCAGCAACTTGGCTGGTATCTTCTCAAGTCACAAATTGATCTGGGGTTTCCCCAGAAATGGAGATTACTGGGTCCCAAACGCCAACTGCAGACAGGGGACCATGGATAAGTTTACATTCTCAAGACTATCTTTACATTTCAGAAGGATAGAAATTCTCCATGTTCAAATGTCCCAACAAGAGAGTCTGGAGAGTTCTTCAAAATCTGTGGAAAAAATCTGAAAAGCAATCTGAATCTAGATTTTTCTGCATTTTGGGGAAATTATGTGTCCAAGTCCAAACATCCATCATCACCTCCCAAAAGGAGATAGATTTTTTTTTTCCACGGAGCCTTAGGGAAGTAATGAGGTAGTATCCAAAGCCATGAGCATCAGACACACACTTCTGTTAGACTCCTTGAACATCTCAGCCTAAATTTGCTTTAAAAAATAGCTGCTATACATATCAACTTGGGATTACATTGTCTTTTTAGAGTATGTTTGATTATATTAGTTTGTTGATTTTTTAATAGGATTGAATAACCTGCTTTCCTAACTGTAAAGACAGCTGCATATTGATTGTTTAAACAAAGCTTGTAAATGATGCATTGCAACACGTGGTAAGAAACATTCTTTTTACTTTTGTGAGTTGTCCATTACATACATCCTATAACAATCAATTGACGTGTGACAATGCATAAGGACACAATTTTGCTTGGATCCTGCAATAAATTGTGCAGGTGCCTAATTTTGTATATGGAAGTCCATCATAGTGACCTCTATGTGCCCAAATGTTTGCAAAATGTGGGACTTTCTCTACCTATGCACTTACATTATTAGTTACAGGACTCTTTCCATGGCTTATGTTGGTCCAGATTTAAAAAGATTTAAGTGGAATTTTTGTGACGTGTATTAGAAAAAGCAGAACAGTCTGAAGCTTCAAATTATCTTATAATAATTGCTCATACATATTTACAGGAGTGCAAGAGTGATGAAGCCATGATGGTCCCAAAATTATGTGAGAAGCAAGGATTTCTTCAGGTCATACCTTTTATTTAGTCTAACTTTATCCCAACTACATTGTTTTTCCAGTAAAAGATGTCACCTGAAGAAATCCTTGCCTCCTACATATTTAGGCAACTTTAAAGGATGATGTCTATGATTATGAAACTAATCCTTTGTTCTTCTATTCCACTTCTCCTTGCCTCACAACTGTGAAAACACACAGAATCATGTAATTTTCCTTGGGCAGCAAAAATAAGCATGTGTAGTCAAGATTAATATATTTCTGTAGCTGACAGAAGAGTTTTAACTATACAAGAAACTTCTTTCCTGGAGTTAATTACAGTGCAGTAAAAATCATCATGTCATCTTTACAGTGTGCAGGGTACCACTTGAGTTTTATCAATAGGGTCAGCCTGTATACATGCATGTTCCTTTTCAAACATCTGTTTTTCCTACTTCAAGAAATAGTATTAAGCATTTATCCACACAGCAGACAAAAGTTGATCCTTGAGTTTTTGCATGCTGTGCCTGCTCAATCATGGAAACAATCATGGAAATTGCTCTTCTGCAATTATGGCAGAATGTCATGATTCTGAAAGGGTGTGCTGCAAAAGTGATGCAAATGTCTGCGAGAAGTTAAATGTTCTCCTCCCCTGTCTGGCACTGTGCCTGTTCCAGATACTCCAGTGTCACCTGTGGCTGCTCTTCTAGAGACTGCTGCAAAACAGGATGGATTGTTGAGCATTTGCTTACCAGTGCTCTCAAGAAATAGTAAATGAAATGTTAACACATCTATGACTTGACTACTTGTGAACTTAGATGTGTCTTGTGTCAGAGCAGTCATAGGCAACCTATGGCCCACAGAGCTATGGTTTCAGCAACAGTGTGCCTCTGCCCATGTTGCACCACAGTTGGACACCCAGGGCTTCAGTAGAGGGAAACTCCACCTGCACTGCATGGCGGTTGGGTGGTATGAACTCTGGTGGTGGAGGCTCTGTCTGCATTGTGCCATGCCACAGTCAGGTGGCAGGACATAGTAGCAGAGATGGAGATGTCCTAATGCCCGTCCATACTTGCTCCCCCACCCTTAAGTGGAAAATGTTTCGACCCTTGTGTTAGAGAATTTAAGGCTAAAATAGACCACTCTTTAAAAAAAATAGTTTATTTGTAGTCTTTCAAGTTATTGTATAAATGTAAATGGACATATTCATTTTTTATAATGTATATTACACAGTAGCACCAGTACCATATTTAGAGTCAGAATCCTAGGTGCTACGCAAACATACAACAAAAGACAGAACCTGTCCCCACGGACATACAATTTAATTAGTATGATGTGTAATTTAAAAATGTTTACATAAAAGCCTATATAAATTAAGGGCTGCAAAAAGGAAGAAGATGCTGAATGAATTAGAAGCTTAAATATTATAGTACTGATGGTCTGTGGGTCAGGACAGAACTTGAGAAGCATTCAGTAAAACTAACTGAAGCAGGGGAACTGTTATGCTGCCTTTTTAGGAATTAAGCTATCTGGACACAGATTTCCTACTGAAGTCAAAGGGAATGAATGTCCTGATCAGAGGATTACACTTAAAGTTTTGTGCTTATGCCATCTCATTTCCTATATTTCCTGCTGCAATTCTCCACACTGCATTTCATGGTGTATCAAAACCCTAATCCTAAATTATGTTTTTTCTTACTGAGAGTAGCTTTGCTTTAATAAAATCATAGGAAAATGATTGTTGGCTTGATAATGCATGCATAATCAAACTATGGGACAATGACACTGAACACACTCAAAAACCCTCCTATTGCAAAAAGAGTATTTGGTCTCCTCTAGGATAAGACTATGAACTTTACTGCACTGTTAAGTTACAAAAGAGTACAATAAAAAGGTGACCGCTAGCCAAGAACTTGTTTCTGCTTTTTCAGTGAGACCTGAGAGAGGGATGGATTTTATACAAAATGACCCACAAAATGTGTATGGTGGTGAGGTGGAATGGGAATGGAGTGAGACGGACACAACTTTTGTTTTATTTGTGTGTACTAAGGAAGCCTGAACATTTGGTAGATGTTCTTAGAAAATAAAATTACTCCCAAAGACCCAACTTTTAGGTCTCCTATATACATCAAAGGCGGCAACACCTGTCTTTCTCCTCTCCTTTTTTCAGGTCACCTTGAAGTGCATCTCACAGCTACAGTCACATTGAAAGACCACTGTTATCAAGAAGGGATCATCTTTAGAGACTGGGATACCTCAGAGTTTACAAATATTGTGCCAATTTAAGGTGCTATAAAAAATGATGCAACCAACACTAACTGTGGTGCATGTAAAATTGATTTATTTGTCAGAAGATTTACATGTCTATATAAGAATGAGAATGTATGTGTTCATGGCAGTGAGGTAAAAAAAAGAAAAAAAGAGGGTCTACTTAGCAGTCTGTCAAATCACAGAGGTGATGCTTCTCCCTGTCAAGATCTATCTTTATGTCTTTTCTTGAAAAAGTGAATGGAGTTTAAGTTTGTACTGCACTACACCTTTCTTCCACAAAGACAACAGGAGTTACTTTTTGGTCTCAAATCCAACATACATTTTTCAGGGATGCAGAATAAAGTAAATAAATAACACAGAAGGATATCAAGTTACGTACTCATCCACTACACAGCTATACAGTCTGGAACTAGTGTCAGAAAAACCTTGCTGTTCCAAGAGATTAAGAAAAGGTTTAAAGGTGGATATTTCCACAGCTATCAGAATTAGCATCTGTCTTTAACTCAGACGCACACCATTTTGAAAACTATATTATCTTCCATTAATCACAATACATTTTAGTAGCTAGTGACAAATAACATGCAAACTTTCAAAACTAGCTCTCACTGTATAACAGTGGCTGCCAAAATCATGTCAGAACTTAAGAGGTGAGAGAAGACAGCTAAACTAATTTTTCTATATCTTAAGCCTCTCAAGTCTCTCGTTAAAAATATTTCCATTCAAAGGCACTTGTAGTAGCTCAACATGTTTCTTCCATATACTTGCATCTGCAGCTGTCCTAAAGTCCATCTATTAGTTGTCTGGTTTGCAAAGAGATAGCATTGAGTGAAACTGTATTTTTAAATTCAGGGGTCACATTCTACAATGTGGTCAGCAACAGGGGTAACTCACTTTATACTGACAATGTCCTTGTCATACTTCCTATTACTTTATTACTCCATATCTTAAGTCAGCACATTCCCAGTATCAAGATGCAACAAGAAATAGGAACTTGATGAAGAGAAAAATCATGCATAAGTAATCATAATCTGCTGACTCTGTCAGCAAGAACAATTATTCATGACCACCTATCACTGCTGTAACAGAAAGAAAACTGTTTTTACTGTACACTAAACTTTATGCTAGTGATTAGTCTGTACTTTGATTCTTCTTAATATCCAGGAGTTAGGGAAGTTTGGAATGAGAAGATCATCCCAATATATAAGAACTACTCCAGGACACAGGTAATACTACGGTATTAGTGGAATAAAGGTTAAACAAAATTGTCCTTCCAGCTCTTTCAGTGCTTCAGAAGAATGGCATCAGTTAAACCAGACTGCTGCTTGGCAGATAGGTTTCAGCAGAGGCAAACAACTCAGCACAGTGGTTCACTTCTTGTAGCAACAGCAGGTCTCCTCTTCTATCGGGCATTGCAGTAGACAGGGTGGAGATGGAAGAATGGCCCAGCTAATGCTGAGTTTTCCTGGAGAATAAAGACCCACCAGGTATGTCTATACCAATTCTGTAGTATTTCCAGACTGCTATGAAAAACTGCCCACTCCTGTTCTGCAAGCTGAAAAAATGTAGCCCAGTCACCAAGACAGCAGTGCAGGAGTACCCAATGCCGTTCTCAAGAACTTATTCAAGACAGATTCTGAGAGCATCCCAAAGCACATGCCAAAAGCAACCCTAGATTTTCTAGCAAGTGGCGTGTGCACAACAAAAGGAAGCATTTCTCTGTAGCACTGCATTCCTGTAATTGCTAAGGTGGGGGTAGAAATGTATCTACTTGGTCACTAGGAGAGGTACAAGAGGCACAACTCCCCAGACATGGAGTGACAGCTAACGTTTTAAACATTCCTCTTTTCCATTTAGATATGCACAAGAAATGTCCTTGACATCGCCTCACTCCATAGACAGAAGACCAGTGACCTCATCTCTCCCAAATGCAGAGGGGAAGGGAGGAGGCAGCTGAATACAGTACATTGGAGCAAAGAAGTTAGGGGGAGATTGTATTAAGGCAGGGATGTCCACTTATTTGGCCCTGCAGGTCAGATTGAGACCACAGGAATCCTCAAGGACCAGATGATCCACCTCTGGCAGCAAGGCCCTGAGACCCTGAATATGGTGGCAAGCACTTGGGGTGGTGGTGGAAGTCATCAAGCTGCATCAGCGTTCACCCCCTGGAATCTGGAGCCATGCCAACGCAATGACTAGCAGCAATGTCTACAAGCTCCACAAGCCTCCATGCTACCAGCTGAACAGCTCTTTATTAAAGACACGGGCTAAGAAGTGCATTTTAAAATCAGCTGTGGATTTTTATCTATACACATATTACACATTTAAACAAATCACACAATGGAGAAGGATTATAGGGAGGAAACAATTTTTACAGTCTACAAAACAGTCAAGGTACCAGTGAAAAATTATAATGTAAACATACTGGCAAAGTTTCTATGCACCTAGGCCTGATTTGTATGGGTACTAGACACTGGCCAACATTTTGAATTTTCAAAAGAAAAAATAATGAATTACCCCTCTTGAATCATACCTAAAGGAACACAGAACCTACATTAAAAGCAAGGTGTGTGCACGTGTGTGCACACACACAACTAATCCCAGCTGCCACATTGCTTGTTGCCATCCTCCTGTCCCGCATTAACCCTCATTCCTTTGTTTACTATTAATTTCATGCAAAGTTAGTTTTAGGCTGTAAATTCTTTTGGCCAGGGAGAAAGAAGACAGATCTTAAATTTGTAAAACTGGTAAAGACATTTTCGGTCACTGAGAAAATATTAACAATCAAGTCATCTGCTAACCAAATGCAAACTACAAAAAAATATAATTGGTCTGTTACATTTTTATATGTAGCAAAAACAGCATAAGTGACATCAGAGGCAGATTATGTTACATGGTGTTTACAAAAGCAGTAACCATTGCCATTATGTTGCTGGAGAAGATTCAGAGTTTGACTTTAGTCCCATCCTCACTAGAGAAATGACTGTCAGTTCCATATTATGACATCAGTGGACAGACTGTTGTGTTTCAAGTAAATATTCCTCTGGTTTGTGCACAAGACAACACTTACCCTTAACCAATGGGATTCTGAGATTTTGGAGGTTATTCTTGTCCTTTGTATCATCACGCACTCCCTGAATAAAGAACTTGTGACTTGATGAGAAGTCTTAGAATACGAAAGATCTGTTCCTAGTATTTTTAAAGACGTCATTAAACAGCAAGCTTCTATCAAACTCTAGAGACCGGTCCAGAACTTCAAAAATGCCCCTGTACTCTTCTGGGTACAAATGGCCTGTTAAAATGTTTTCTGGTATTTCTAACTGCTCTAAAACTTTATACCCATTGCCCAGGTTCCATGTGCTGAAACACAAAACAAAGTAAAAATCACAATGTGCAATTTCTTTCAGTTAGAAACAACAAAATATAGAACTCATATTTGGGCTCACTTCATTCTTTCCCAGCTCCTAGATGTCAATGACAACTCCCCTGTGCAACACCAGTTGTCTTCTACGAATACTGAGACCAGAATCTCAGTGTTAAAAAACTGGCACATGTTCCCTTCACAGGAAATTAACATCAGGCCTGAAGATACTGCAATACCAGGCCCACCCCAGGAAAACCACAGCAGCTCTAGCACCCTTCCTTTGGTGCCAAAAACACTACATTTGATTTTAGCCAATAAGGCAAGGATAGGTTAATGTAACCCATCTGAATAAAATACATGGTAGTGCCTATTAAGCAAAGTTCCTCCCCCCAACCGCTGACTCTTTTCAAGTCATAGTAAGCTACAACACTATACATTTTGACTTCCTTTTCACTCCCATACCTGAACTGTGTCTTTCTTACCCGTTTTCAATCATTCCTGTTTCTTCACTCACCTTAAATGTCTGGCAGAAGTCAACAAACAGGGCCCCAAACAGTCCACCCACCCAGAATCCCTCTGTCATCCCCCTCTCAGTCTGCCACATACAATCACTGTGGCCCCGCCCTCCATGAGGTGAAGCTGGATTAGCCTCCCCTGTGATTCATCTGCATGTAAGTTTTTGGAGCACCCCAGGACTTGTGACAAAAACAGCCACTTCTAGTCATGAGTGGGAGAGCTAATGAGCACTTGGATTTTTTGTGGAGGGTGTCTGGAGTACACAACATAGCTGAGCACTGCTGAGTTGTGGGGTTACCATGGCTTGAAATACAGGTGACTCTGGACCCAGCCCAATGAACTACGTAGCCCTTGGACTTGGACTCCTATCATGCAGTTTATACTACATTTAAGTAGGTAATTGCTGCTACAGTTGATCTTAGCCCACATGAGGCTGAGAAAACCAAAAGTGTGTTTAAGGAGTACCTGTGCTAAAACTTGCAGGTTTCAAAAAAAGGTAATGTATCAGTCCTGAATTAATTAAGTGTATGTTGCTAAATGCAAATTGCTACAACCATGTTTACTTTCAAAGTTATTGTTTTCAAATTTGTTCCTCACTTCTACGTGTGATGGGTGAGCAGGGTCTGACAGTAAGGATAGAGAGAAGGGGCTGCCAGGGGAAAAAAGTTAGGGGGAAGCACAGAGCAAAGCAGCTACCTGGCTCCCAGAAATTATTCTCTCTGCTGTAGCAGTGGGAAGGGGACAAATTCGAGGCAAACCTCAAATTCTGTACCCGGAAAATTATAATAAATTAGTAACTTTTCCATATATATAGAATCAAATTATTGGGGGGGAATGTCTTATAATCACAGTATATCCTTGCCAAACTTCAACTTTCCATCACTTTAACTGAGTACAGTTGTGCAAACAATGCTTGTAAACCAGGTTAGGAAAAAAAAAGGCATCTTTTTCTATTCTGATCACTCTGAAGAACAGCTTATAGTTTTTTAATCACAGGCCCTGGTTCTCATGGGGGACTTCAATCATTCTGACATGTGGGGAGGGCAATACAGCAGTGTGCAAGCAATACACTGTTGTTGGTTGTAGCTGTGTTGGTCTAAGGACACAGGCAGACAAGGTTCTTTGGGTAAACATAATTTCTTTTATTAGATCAATTAAATAGTTGGAAAAATTGTTCTTTGCAAGCTTTTGGGCACAAACACCCTACCTTTAGCAGATTCTCTCCAATGCCTGAAGAAGGATATTTGTGCCTGAAAGTTTGCAAAGAACAATTTTTCCAGGCAATCCAGGAAGTTTTTGAGGAGTTCTGGGGACAGCTTCCTGGTGCAAGTGCTGGAGCAGCCAACCAGGGGCTATGCTCTTCTTGACCCACTGCTCACAAACAGGGAAGAAATGGTGGTGAATGTACTAAAAGATGGCACCTTGGGCAGCAGTGACCACAAGATAATTGAGTTCAGGATCCTAAGGAAAGGAAGGATAGAGAGCAGCAGAGAAAGGACCCTGGACTTCAGAAATGCAGACTCTGACTCGCTCAGGGAACTCATGGGCAGGATCCCCTGGGAAGCCACTCTGAGAAGAGAAGCCCAGGAGAGCTGGCTATACTTTCAAGAAGCCTTACTGAGAGTGCAGGAACAAACCATCCTGATGTGAAGAAAGACTAGGCAAGTATGGCAAAAGACCAGCTTGGCTTAGCAGGGAACTCTTCAGTGAACTAAATTACAATACAGGAGCTTGTGAGAAGAGGAAACTTGGATAAACAACTAGGGAGGAGTATAAGAGTATTGCTCGGGCATGCAGGGATGAAATCAGGAAGGCCAAAGCACAATTGGAGTTGCAGCTAGCAAGAGATGTGAAGGGTTTCTACAAGTATGTCAGTAACAAGAGGAAGATCAGGGAAAATGTGGGTCCCTTATTGAATGGGGGAGGCAACCTAGTGTCAGAGGATGCAGAAAGGGCTGAAGTACTTAATGCCTTTTTCACCTTAGTCTTCATAGGCAGGATCACACTATTGCACCTGGCAGCCCAGTTCGGGGGAGGAGGTGAGCAGTCAACAGTGGTGAAAAACAGGTTAGGAACTATTTAGAAAAGCTGGATATATACAAGTCCATGGGGCCAGACTAGATGCACCCAGGGGTGCTGAGGAAGTTGACTGATTTGACTGCAGAGCTGCTAGCCATCAACTTTGAAAATTCATGGTGATCAGGAGAGGTCCCAGATGATTGGAAAAGGGCAAACATAGTGCCCATAGTTAAGAAAGGGAAAAAGGAGGATCCGAGGAACTGCAGACTGGTCAGCCTCCACTCAGTCTCTGGAAAATCATGGAGCAGATCCTCAAGGAATCCATTTCTAAGCACTTGGAAAAGGTGAAAAGGAACAGTCAGCATGGATTCACCAAGGGCAAGTCATGCCTGACTAACTTGGCTCCTTTCTTTGATGAGATGACTGGCTCTGTGGATGTGGGGAGACCAGTGGAGGTGGATGTGATTTTAGCAAGGCTTTGGATACAGTCTCCCACTACAGCCTTACAGGCAATCTAAGGACGTATGGGCTGGATGAATGGACTGCAAGGTGGATAGAAAACTGTCTGGAGCATTGGGCTCAGAGGGTAGTAATCAATAGCTCAAGATCTACTTCACAGCCCGTATCAAGTGGAGTGCCACAGGGGTCAGTCCTGGGGCTGGTTTTGTTCAACGACTTGGAAGATGCACCCTCAGCAAGTCTGCAGATGACACCAAGCTGGGGGGAGTAATAGATATGCTGGAAGGTCGGGCTAGGATTCAGAGTGACCTAGACAAATCGGAGGACTGGGCCAAAAGGAATCTCATAAGGTTCAACAAGGCCAAGGGCAAAGCTCTGCCCTTAGGATGGAACAATCCCATGCACCAGTACAGGCTGCAAAAAAGGACCTAGAAGTTACAGTGGACAGTAAGCTAAATATGAGCCAGCAGTGTGCCCTTGTTGCCAAGAAGGCTAAAGGCATACTGGGCTGCATTGGGAGGAGCGCTGCCAGCAGGCCAAGGGAAGTGAATATTCCCCTCTATTTGGCGGTGACCACCCGCACGCGCCACTGGCAGCATCAACAGCATTTTTCACAGGGGTTGCACCGCCAAACTCAGGGGGTGCACGTGCACCTGTGTGCATCCCCTACACATTACAACCTTTCTGAGCATTGGCAGACTCTCTAATTCTTGGAGGTTTTTAAGACTAGTTACAAAGCCTTGGCTAGGATGATCTAGTTGGGGACAGTCCTGGCTTGAGCAGGAGGTTGGACTAGATGACCTCCTGAGGTCCCTTCCAACTCTAATTTTCTATGATTCTATGAATACTAAATTGAACTGAGAGAGCAAAGAAATATTCCATTACAAATGCTTCAATATTTTCCCTGTTACTTGTCTGCTATAAAAAAAATAGTAAATCCAATTCTTCCTTATACTTACTTTATTATATCAATTAGTTTAGACTTCTGCTTAATAAGACACTGTTTTACCATCATGATAAAAGTTAATGAAGTAGCATCTGTCATAGCACCTGTAAATAAATTCCTTCGGGGAGTCATTCGTACTAAACATAAATGGTCATTTGTTATCTGCAAAAGGAAAGAAAGAATTAAGCTAGTAAAATCAAGGTCACTATGAAGCTTCAGTTGTCAATACAAGTATTGTTTTTCATTTATGTAGTGATTTCTGAAAGTAAAGCAACTCTAATTTAATAGAAAAAGTCTTGTCTGAAGGTGATGCTCACCTAGAAAGAGGTTGCAATAAAAAAACCCCCAAAAAACTCAAAACAGTATTCACTAGAATAATTCACAAGCAAGGACCTCAAACTCATCTGGCCCACAGGGTGCAGGGCCAGCCTCGCATGCAGTGCATGTCCTGGGCTAGCTCCACATGCAGCATGTACCAAATGGAACATGTAGGTCAACTCTGAGGCCAACAGGCAACACCGGGGCCAGATCCAACCTGTGGGCCTAATCTTTGACACTTCTAACCTAAGGATACATGGAATTTTCTATCACTTAACATTTAAAAATATATGCTACATCTCAGATAGAAATTTAGGCTAGATGCATAAAGTATTAGACAATGTTATATGATCAGTGCTTCGCAGGATATCAGACTAATACAGGGCCAGTTCCTTGTGGTCTTATAGCAGTCTAACTCATTTAAGTTATCTGCCTGAATGTGGAAAACTGGAGTGTAACTTTTGCTAAAACTATCATGTAACCCAAGCATATAAAGTTTTTTTTCGTTAAATCAAAGATTTTTTTGCACTAGCAGCAATGCATATATATGATCCAATGGATCTTTTCAATATCTAGTTCATAGACTTGCTGCATTTTCTCCCACCTAGGATAATAAAAAAAAATTAGTTGTGTTCAGTTCCACTTTTATTTAGTCACAATTCTGCATTTGCCTTCTTACGTAGAGAACACATCGCATATGAGTTTTCAGTAAATCAAAGCAACATTTAAATAAAAACATTTCCAATGAAATGGGACTAGTAAATTTTCTTATTTAAACTTGTAAAACTTGCCTAAAAATATCAGACTTCTTTGCATCTAAACAAAAATCTCTAAAGAAAAAAAGTCAAAGAATTAATCTTACCTGGCTCCCTGGTCTTGGCAATCTTGGAGTTTTTGAATTAGTTAAAAATGAGGACCGAGGCTCCTGGGAAGAAGAAAAAGCTTAACAGTTAAAATATCTTGACAAGACTTCATAATTTATTTTTAATAGAGGTAAACCAATGCATCGGTCCCATATTGTATCAGCACCAATATAAGGAAAATTGACATCATCGGCCATCAGCTTTTTTGGCTGATGTGGCTGATAATGTTGCAGATAAATGCCCCATGCACACGCGCAGCCGCAGCGCAGCACAGAGGTGGCTAGGAGTGCAGCCGAGCAGCATCTCGCTGGTAAGTCTGTTGTGAGGCAAGGGGCAGATCACGGCCCCCAGGGTGAGGGAGAGAGTGTGCCCCTGGAACTGTGTGCTGGGTGAGGCTAGGCTGCACCTGCAGGCTGAGGCTGCACCAAGCTCTTCCTGGCAGAGGGGTTGGGCTGTGGCTGCACTCAGGGCAGGCAGTGACAGCACGGGGGGTTGGGGGGGGGGGGCTCCAGCCACTTTAAAGTTCACTGTATTCCCTGCTCCCAGGGCTGCCACTGCCCACCCCAGCACAGCCCAGCCCCACACTGGGAAGAGCCTGGCACTGGCCCTACCTCTAGCCCACAGCAACAGCCTGCCCTTGTCCCATGCACACATCTAGAGGCACACACCCCCCATGCCCTCCTGAGGTGAGCAGCCGAGGGCCACAAGGGTAGCCTTGCCCCTTAACAGGTGCCTCCCCCCCGGTCACCATCTTGAGACTGGAAGTCCTGACCCTAACCCCTGAACTTTGCCACTGGAAGTACTCCTTTTGGGAACAGGGTTTGAAATCTTGGAACCGGAAAAAAATCAATTTATATACTAAAAATCAAAGATCTACAATAACATATCTTAATTTTATTTAAAAAAAAAGTGTGTGAGATTTGTGTGTTTGCTTCATGTATATAGAGGTGATTGCATAATAGCTCAAAATGAAGTCTTACTCCTATATATATTTGGGGGGAGGGGAGGGATGTGGGAGTATATGGGTTTTGTGGGGACTGTGGATGTGCGTGTGAGGGGGTGTATGTGGGCTGTGGGGGACGGTGTGGGAGTGTGTATGGAATTTATGTGGGGATGGGGGGGTGAGGGTAGGTAGGTATGGGTCTGTAGGTAGGTGTGTGTGTGGGGGGGGCTTGTAGGAGGTGTATTTGTGGGGATGTGTGGGTGGATATGGCATTTGTGAGGGGTCTATGGTGTGTGTGTGGTGAGGGTGGCTGGGAGTGGGTGTGGGGGGCGGTTGGGGTGTGCACGGGGGTGTGGGTGCATGTGCATGGGATATGTACGGGGCTCCCTTACAAAACATCCCCCCCCCCCCCTTCCATTGCACACAGCCCCTGCTGCCAGCAGCAGCAGCAGCAGGAGCTCCCTGGAGATCCATAATCCCTACAAATCCCAGGACTGCACGTAGCTGGGCTGCCAGCTCCATTGCATGGGGCTCACGTGCCCAAGCCCTGCCTCATGAAGCCAGCCTCATGATTGGCTGGGGCAGCAAGAAAGGGGCAGAGCTAGTCCAGCTCCACAGCGTGGAGCTCCCCGCCATTCCCCATAACCTGTGTGTAGCAGTGCGTGAGGCCAGGCCACCGGCTCCATCATGAGGGGCTCTCCCCAGAGGTGTGCAGCTCAGGTGGAGAACCTGGGAACTGTGTGCAAGCCCCATGAGATGGAGCCAGGAAGACCCCACGCCCCCACAAGCCTGGGCTCAGTGCTCCTGCCACCTCACCCTGGGCCCCTGCCAGCACCAGCACAGGCCCCCTGCCCCCGTGCAGCTCCCGCTTTGCTCTTGCCCGTCTGCCACTGCTGTTACCACCACTCCTACCCCCTGCTGCCATCACTTCCCCCACCACCGCTGTGGCTTTTCCCCTGCTGCTTCCCTACCTTTCTGCCTACCTGCCCCTCCATCCCTCCTCCCACTGCCACCACTCCCCCACCTGTGAGGCAAGGGTCAGGTGAGGGTGGGAGCATGATGTGCTGCTCCTGCATGAATGAGCGGGGCTTGACCCCATGTAAGCACAGCAGGGGCAGCCCGGGGCCAGGCCAGATACATTGAAGTGGTAGGCACCTGCCCAAGGGCTGAATAAAATTGCCTGGCAGGCTCGATCTGGCCCATGAGCCGTATTTTGCTCACGCCAATACAGTCTCTCAGCAGAAATCAAGTCTTGGTTACACCCAGGAAGAAGCCAGGACACTGCCATAGAAGCTGCATCTACAGCTGATTTCCAGACCAAAAAAAGATCCTAGTCTAAGTAAGTGAGGCCCATCTAATTATGTGATAAAGGGAAACACACCAGATCAAACATTGGCCTCACCAAAAACGAAGAGAATGTACTGGTTTTTAAGCTTAGACTATATCTGCTTCATTCCCAGACCTGAGAAAGGGTATTTTATACCCGAAAGCTTGCCTGGTATCTCTCCTAATTATATAGCTGGTTCAGTTAAAAATATTACAAAACAAATTTTACTTCTCAGAGCAGTAAAAAGCAAGAGATAATATAGATAGCAAGCCTAAAAAATCTGGAGCAGTTGCTGAAGGTGAGTGTAAAATGTTCCGACACATCAAGAAAGATTACCAGAAAAGGAACGGTGAGAGACAGAACACTGTCAAAAGGTGCTAAGGAGAGCACCATCACGCTGACTTTGGCAAAAAACTGAAATACCCATACTTAGATCCCGTGACATCTCACATTACAAACAGATCTAAGGTAGTGGGAGCAGTATAGCCGTATTAGCCTGGCACTCCACCAATACTAACATAGATATAACTTCTACTTAAGTCAGCTGATTTACAGTTCCATCAGGTATCTCTGTATAGCACTGCACTATGCAATGCAGACATACCAATAAGGCAAAGCCTTGCTCATGCTGTTCAGGTACATCATGGTTCATTTACAATGTCCTCCTATTTATTCATTCTGGGTTTTTTTCTCCCTGCTACCTGTCATTCATTCTCCCTTGTATCTAGTATTGACTGTGGTAAATCATGAAAATATTAGTCTAAAGAAAATGCTGACAGATCGTTAACTATGAGGCGCATTCCTATAAAAGCATTTTCAATACAGAAAACAAACAAGCAGTCATTTCAGAAGGCTGTGTACTATAAAAAGCATTTACATCAGAAAGTTAACACAGAAAACTCACCATGTGCAGGAGCTGAATTTCACATCCTGTTTGCCAAAGTACACTTAATGCTTGATACCTCCTCATTTGTTCTCCAGGTTTTGCAGTTAATACCTGGAAGAATGACAAGAATACACAAGACTAGTTCTATACCTATTTATTCCAAAATCCTTATAAAGGCAATTGGAAAAGGTTCAACTCAAATGTCATAGTTAATTGTAAGAGCCCAAGGTCAATTCTCTGTCTGAAGGTGTATTTGGTGTTCTACAAGTTGCACCACCCACTATTTTAAGCGTCTGTCCTAGAAAACAATACGAGAAAGTCTTGGTGGGTGTGTCTACAAGTGAGCTTTAATGTGCAGTAGCCTATTCTACTTCGCATTAAAACATCACAGAAAAAGCTGGTCCTGACAATCACCAGAGTGCTGAGGGAATTAGCAGAGGTCATTGCGGGACCCCGGCACGGCTTTACGAGCACTCATGGTGCTCTGGTGTGGTGCCAGAGGACTGGAAAAGGGCCAATGTGGTTCCCATTTTCAAAAAAGGGAGGAAGGAGGAAACTATAGGCCAGTTAGTCTTACCTCGATCCTGGGTAAGCTTTTTGAGAGAATTATCCTGGCGCATGTCCACGACGGGCCAGCAGAGAAGATTATGCTTAGGGGCAACCAACACAGGTTCCTTAGAGGCAGGTCCTGTCAGACCAACCTGGTAGCCTTCTATGACCAGGTTACAAAATATTTAGATGTAGGGGTAGCAGTGGACATAGTCTTTCTGGACTTTAGGAAGGCCTTTGACACTGTCTCTCACCCGATTCTCATTAAAAAACTAGGGGACTGTGGCGGCGACACCTACACAGTCAAATAGGTCACTAACTGGCTGGAGGGCCGCACCCAGAGAGTGGTGGTGGACGGGTCTTATTCAACCTGGAGGGATGTGGGCAGTGGGGTTCCGCAGGACCTTGGGCCTGCACTGTTCAAAATCTTCATCAGTGACTTGGGTGAGGGGGTAAAAAGCACCCTGTTCAAATTCACAGACAACACTAAGTTGTGGGGAGAAGTGGGCACACTAGAAGGGAGGAATAGGCTGCAATCGGATCTAGACAGGCTACAGGGGTGGGCGGATGAGAACAAGATGGGTTTCAACACTGACAATACGATGCAGTGCAAGGTACTGCACCTGGGGAGGGGGAACCAGCAGCAGACCTACACACTGGGGAACTCCCTTCTTGTCAGTACAGAGGCAGAAAAGGATCTTGGAGTCATTATTGATGCCAAAATGAATATGGGCTGACAGTGTGGAGATGCGGTCAGGAAGGCCAACCCTACCTTGTCATGCATCCACAGATGCATCTCAAGCAGGTCCAAGGAGGTGATCCTCCCCCTCTATGCAGCACTGGTCAGGCTGCAGTTGGAGTACTGTGCCCAGTTCTGGGCGCCGCACTTCAGGAGGGATGTGGACAACATGGAGAGGGTCCAGAGGAGAGGCACTTGCATGATCAGGGGGCAGCAGGGCAGGCCCTACGATGAGAGGCTACAGGACCTGAACCTATTCAGCCTCCACAAGAGAAGGCTGAGGGGGGATCTAGTGGCCGTTTACAAACTAGTCAGAGGGGAGCAGCAGGCATTGGGGGAGTCCCTGTTCCCCTGAGCATTACCAGGAGCGACTAGAAATAACGGTCACAAGCTGGCAGAGGGTAGATTCAGGCTAGACATCAGGAGGCGCTACTTCACTGTCAGGGCAGCTAGGATCTGGAACTAACTTCCAAGAGAAGTGGTGCTGGCTCCTACCCTGGGGGTCTTTAAGAGGAGGCTGGATGAACACCTTGCCGGGGTCGTTTGACCCCAGTACTCTTTCCTGCTATGGCAGGGGTTCAGACTTGATGATCTGCTCAGGTCCCTTCCGACCCTACCAACTATGAAAGCAGTGCTAATATGCTAATGTACAGCAGAATTGATCTAGCGCGCATTAAGTCTCACTAAAAAGGCATTCATTTTTGCTACTGTGCATTAGAGCAGCCTAAAGAGCCTTTATGTAGTGCCTCATATTAGAGGTACTAAACTTAATGTGCAATACAAAAGCACATTAATGAACGTGTAAGATGCGCCCAGTGTCATCTAAGCGCCTTTGTTTTATATCAATATTTTTAAATCTACAAAATTAAATGCTGAATTAAATTGTATATGAATTTCCATCTTGCCTTTCACTAGTTGACTTTCAGATATGAAAGAGTCTACAATAAAAGAACAAGGAAATTCAAAAGATGGCTCCAATTTTGGATACAGTTTAACTGACAGCAAGTAGATTTCATTTTTATATTCAAATAAGCACTATTTCTAATAGGGAGAATCATACTGTCAGTATAAACAGAGGGCTTAGCACATGTTACTTTTAAGGCCCAATCCAGGGACAATAAATTGTGACATACCACATGTTCATCTAATTTATGGTGCCATAAAATGACAAACCAGCCACAAAGATGTTCCACAGATAAGGTATAACTTGGCTATCCAAATCAGGATTGGGCACAGAGCAACCCTGAGCCCAGCTGGAGCCACGCTAAAATGAATCCATCCCAGGTTCAAGAAAGAGGGCCATTGCATCCTACACCCCAGGGCTGTCTCATGCTAGATCCTGATGCAGCCAGATCCTGAGGCAGCCTCAACATAATTGCTGACTTCCCAATCTGCAGGACAGGTTTGGCCTCAGGAGTGGCACAATTGGGATCTGAGGAATGATATCTGGAATGGGGCATAAAATTCCTCAGATCCCAAATGCCAAATGTGCTATTATTTTAACATCTGCTGGGGTCCTAGGATTTAATTTGTTAAAAACAGAGCCACATGACTGTATGAAAGTGAACACATCTTGGGCAAACTGTCCATTCAATCCAATATTACAGGTCAAACAACTTTCAGAAAGAAAACAAATGTTTCAGTTATTCCTGAACTAGGCAAAGGCAGGAGTGAGTGCATCATTATAGCGAGATTACATTCCTAAATACATATGTAATGTTTTCTGCATAATTTGAAAAAAAAAAAAATGGTTGATGCTGTATTCTGCTTCAATACACAATTTCTATTTTGACAATGCAAAGAATTTTCTCGAGTTGATGATGCAGACCCTGTCAGAAACCATGTTATTTAATAACCACATTATGAGTTTGAATTCCTCTTCCACTTGACCTGTCTTGCATAGTTTTTAACACATGCTTTTAATTTTAAAAACAATTAAAAGCATGTGTTCTATCTTTATATTATGTAAATATCTGGAATAATTGACTGCTCTTTGATGCACCTTTGTGCTACTAAATTCAAAGACATAACGAAAACTCATAGGAAACAGTCTCTCTCTCTCTCTCTCATACACACAGACATGTAAAGAGTCCTCAAACTTGTATTGTTGTTTACAAAAAAATTGTGTTGACACAGATCAAGTTATTTCATATAGAAGCTGGAGAGAGAAATTATTTTTGCCCCTCTTGTTACAAAAATATGCCTAAGAAAAAACTGTAAAGCAACACGATGACAAACTGTTTTAATTTTCTGAGAAGCATCCAGTTCTCTTCACTGCCAGTAAAATCTCTTGTACATACCTTGTACTCTTTCTCACTCATAATCATGTTCAGTTCTACTCTTCCACAATGGTATATTGAACGGCACTCATATAAGGCATATATAAGCTTCCACAGCAAATTCCTTTCCTTTCCTTGTGGGACGATTCCAAAAATTTTTACAGGTACATCTGTTTTGATAATGTGCAAAAATATCTTTAAAAATTGAATACATGTACTTGCACAACCTCAACACACTACTAAGCAAGCTACAAACACCACAAACTGAATCTATTTAAAGAGTATGGCTACTGTTCCCCACTCAAGGATGGTTTAGCATATGGCCCAAAGGCATCTAGCTGATGACTCCTTAAATCCTTATAGAAGAGTAGACAAGGTTCCTTGGGTGAATCTGATATGTTTTATTAAACCAAACCAAATAGTTGGAGAGTAGTTATTAAGCAAGCTTTCGGGTTCAAAAACGTTTCATCAGGCTAAGGAAGTTTCAGCAGTTGGTGTGAAGAGTAAACACTTGAGATGATATCTCTCAACAACCACTATTTTAGCTCTTACTAAATACCAAGAAACTTGAAATGACATTGATTATTATATCCAGGACATATAATTTTCTTGAGCCTCATCTATATACAAGGGAGAGTCTCAGCATAACCTACTCCATGTCAACCAAATTAAGTAAGGCCCCAAGGTATGGACCAAATTGCTCACATGAGTCTGGATTAGGCATGGTCAATGTTGGTGGATTTATATGTTAGTGTTTACCTGCTGTCCAAGGAACTGCTGAGATGCCCAATTTTTTAAAAAGTTCCACAGAGTCCATAATAGGTGGTTCGGACCACCCATGGTATCCTGGGTCCAACTTGAAGAAGTTGCAATAAACCACTTCTAATTGTCCATCTAGGTTGTTCTCTAGGGACTGAAAGCAACAGTGTAATCAGATTCTGAGTTTTTCATTTTCATCTCAACCAATTCATACATTTAACCACTTACTGAATCACTTAGAATGAAGTGATTCTCTGAGTACTGGTCAAAAATAAGATGCATCTTAATAAATACTACTCTCCTATTTAAATGTTGCATATAGGCCATCTGTCTCTGTACATCTGCCTTGCATCACACTTGATGCATCGGAAACTTCTCAATCAGATCTTTACAATGTGTTCTCCAGACAGTAACTCTTCCGTAAGGTTTCAAAAGTCACATTTAACTCATAGAACTCTAATGATAAATTAATTGTCTTAACACTTAAGAACTCTTAATTGTTCTTAACACTCTTGTGAAGAACTTCAACTACCAATTGCTTTACTCTTGCATCTCTCTGCAGCAAGGGTAAGTCTAAGCACATAGTAGTAGCAGCCTCCACAGCAGAGAGTGCTGTGGAGGGGAAAGGACAGCAGGGCATAGCTCCATGCCAAGCATCCCTTGTGCCAAACTGGACCTTGGCAGGCTAAATCAGACCTGCCTCGGGGCTGGATTAGTCCTGTGGGCCACAGGTTGCCAAGCCCTGACCTACAGACTTCTTAAAGTGAATTTTAGCCCCATTGTTACACAAGCATCTGTTTAAAGACTGATCTGTTTAAAGCCACAAATGTGAAATCTTACACAAACAAGAGACAACGACTGTCTATACCACAGAAAGAGTAAACAACATGAAAAAAAAATCCCTCAGTCTTTCATTTATACCAGTGATTCTCAACCTGGGTACTGTGCTATTCTTATATGAGTGCTGTGGCATGGCACACAACATCAGCACCTAGGCATGATTCACAAGATAAACCCAGTGATTCCAAATAGGAATCCATACCAGCAAAAATATTTCAATCTGTTTTTGAGCTTTTTGCAACGGAAGAATTTCTCTATTATTTTTCTGTAGTTAAAAAATAAGTGAAAGCTAAGAGCTAACATTTTCTGAGGAATGCCTCAAATCTGACAAGGTTGAGAACCACCAATTTATACTTACTGGAGAGGCTACAAGAAACATTAACAGATGTTAAAAGGGTGGGGGGCAGGAAATCAAGCAGATGTGTGAGGTTATGTTAATTTCATATTTCTCTACTTGACTACAAACTTCTGAGATACAAATCTCAAACCAGAAACCAGACCCATACCTGCAAACCTGGAAGAAAATTCATGTCACTCTCTAGAGCTATCACCCTGGTGCCTGCATTAAGCAATGTCCGGGTCAAGATTCCAGGACCTAGGGAAAAAACAATATTTAATGCTTTTCTTTAATGTAGGCTTCTAAAAGGACACAAGTGGCATAAATGCACGCACACACACACACACACACACACACACACACTCCTCAATAAGGTAGAAACTTTTTATACTGGGGTGTCAAAGATCTGACTCATGGAGCTGTTTCACCCAGGGGTTGGATATACTGTTATGGAGCCTTGCTGAGGAAGGGTGGATGAGGTGAAAGCAACAGCTGAATTAATCCCCACACCACTGTTGTTTGCCCCATAATTCTGTGAAGACTTGTGTGCATGTGCGCACACACACACACACACACTTAACTTCAACTGAAATACATGTGAGCAATGTTAAGTATGCAAGTGTGCTTTTTGTAGGATACTTCTCTCTCTCTCAAATCTGGTGTTATCTTGAGTTATTCTTCAATATTCTCTTCAAGCTCTACCAGCCCGAGTGGATTTTTCAATCCAGATCTACATGCTTTCTGTTGTAGGGCTGAGCAACTTTGGAACAGGAGTGAAGACTGTATGGTTACAGTGTAAGCAAGAAGACAAATTAAAGTGAGTCTGCATTCACTGGAAATGTAACAAAACAAAAGTTTTGAAATTAATGGTGTCAATCAATCAGTCAAAAAACTTCTAAAACTGAAATATTGCAATAAATAACAAAAATGACAACAAACATGCCTTCTCCAAAATCCACCTTATACGGATGGTTAGGAATCCCCAAAACAGCCTTTTCTCTTATTTATAACAACAGGAATCATTCCTCCCCTCTTCTCACACTGAACATCTTGTTGAGTTAATAGTGTCATTTTCCCCACAGTTTAATGCTCTGTACTGAATTTGATTTAGGATCTTTAGAAAAGTCAAAATGTGGAAATTTTGCAATAATCAACCTTCCAAAAATCCTACCCATCAAACTGTCTTTTCTTCTGTCAATTATCTGACTGCTACCCATGGGAATTTCTCTCTTCTCCAGTTTCACAGCCCTCCACAATGTTTTTAGTCATGGCCGTGCTTGCTTCTTCCTTCAGACCTGAAGGAGAATGCTTTGTATAGGTCTGTGCAGTTGGCCCAAGAAAAGATAACGCCTACAAAAATCCTGAGCCAATGACTGGTAATTCAGTGACTGTAGGCCTACAGCTTGGGACATATAGACCTGTTTTCACTAGCCACAACAAAGGGCTGATCCACAATACTAAACGAGGAAGAAAAATAACAAACTACCTTGGCTACAGAGAGCTGTAGAGCCCCACTGGCATGCTATCCCACCCGCCACAACAGATTCTGCCTGAGTACCCTGCAGCTCAAACAAACTGAGCAAACAAACAAGGAAACCCTGTGTGAGAATTAGTACCACGGTGAAGGACTGGCGAGCAAGGATCTCCCAGCAAAACTGCAAGAATCATAGAATCCTGGAGCAACAGGGCTGTGAGGAACCTCCAGGGGCAAGATCATCTCTGTCCAAACCATCCCCTACATTATATAATCTAAACTCTATGTAAGACAACTGTCAACCCTGACACAACACAGACCTAACACCCACACCTGCCACAGGTAAAGTAGGGGACACACAGCAGCCAACATCCTGCTTCTATGAAATGCTGTTAATGTACACTAAAGAGACCCCAAGGTAGACGGCCAGGCCCCTTACTACAGAGGAAAGCAACGCCCCCCCGGTCCGTACCAATCTGACCATGGCTTAAATTCCTTCCTGACCCCAAAGACGGCAATTGTCTGACCCGACGCGGAAAGGCAAGACCTACTCTAGCCAGGCGCCTCCAGCTTCGCTCCCAACAGGAGAGCTGACACAGCCCCAGCTAAGTCCCCAATAAGTCTGCAGATTCCCTAAAGACTCAGCTGTCATCCTGCGGGAGCAAGCGCTGACAAAGTCTGACAACTTCATCAGGAACAGCGCACACGTTGCCTTCCCAGCCCAGGCTGCAAAGCCCTGGCTGGGAGATGCGCTATCCCAACTGTTGGCCCACACGCACCGAGCAAGGCTGGCGCTCCTGGGGGACCTTTCGTTGGTCCCCCCTCCTTCCAATCCTGAGGCGACTCAGTGCCTCGGGAGCTTGGCCCCCTCCCCCAGGAGAGGCTCACCGGGCTCGAACTCCAGCACCACGGGCCCGGGCTTGGGCCGCCCTGCCGCGCCGCCCATCAGGCATCCCGCCAGGGCGCCGGCCAGAGCCGGGCAGGAGATGAACGAGCGCCGCCCCCGGGCCGCGCCAGTCCCCGCCACCAGCCCCGCCACCTCGGCCTTCGGCGGCAGTTGCAGCTCCCGCCCCAGCCCCCC